TTTATTTATAGTTACTTTATGTATTTTTATTTGAAAATGCATACATTAAATTAATTAAAATTATTGTGGGAATAATATTATTGCACAACGTGGCTTTAAAATTGTTTTCGATTTCGTAAAGAATTGTTTATTTCTTTGTCAATAGAAAGAATGATATATTGCAAGTTGTTTGTCCATACTATCGACACTTCGTTTCATCGATATATATAAGTTCCAATTAATCAAACAGATTAGTTTCAACCATTTTTTTTTTTAGAGAATAATATTTCGAAGCGTGACAAATTAAATGTTTTACGACAAGTTAGTTACAGTTATAGAAAACTAATAACTTTTTGTAACAATCTTTTATCATAAATTTATAATATGTATTATATGTGTGTGCTACTGATTAAATAAATAAATGTCTAATTTATTTCTGTAAATAAATCACATTCCGCAAAAAGATTTTATAAACGATCGAAAGAAGCGCATCATCGGAGAAATAACTTAAATTCCATGTTGAAACAGATTGATAAATACTGCAATCTGGCCATGGCATTCGTATTTATAACTGAATTTATATTAAAGATTGTCTTGTTTTATGTGTTTCTTTTATGTCTCACGGCTTATGTTATTATTTATTTCAGGATGAAAAGAACCAGATACTCACGACCAATTGTTGGGTTACGCAAGTTTGGACCGATCATCATTTGAAATGGAATGCCTCGGAATTTGCTGGAATTCGAGTAATTCGCGTTCCCTACAATCGTGTCTGGCGACCTGACACGATTTTGTATAACAAGTGAGTATACTCATCTCGAAAGTAGGCTTTGCAAGTTTTATAACGTATTGCAATTTAAAACTATGTACTGCAAGGAAGAAGCTTATATATTCAACGTGATTCCGGAATATTAAAAAAATTTACAAATTGGTATGATGATTTATAGTTCTCTTGAGATCTCTACGTCTTGATTCTGCTATTCTTTCAAAACTTTTCCCGATTCCTTGCGGAATACTTTGCAGCAGTACGCATAAAGTAAGGATTGAAGATGATCCAGAATAAAATATGATTCAAAAGAAAAGAAATGCACGAGCGGTTTTGAAAAGTAACAATTTTCACAGTCAGTAGAATATTATTAAAAGATAAAGGATATTTAATAAATAATCAAGTTGAAGAGAATTAGGAGAAATTTAAAATGTAAAATTTTCTAATAAGATTTTCTAGACTGCCCCAATAATATGATTCTTTAAATAACACAAAGTTTAAAAATATAGTATAGCTCGGTTGGAATGATAAAAAAAGAGATTTATATATCTAGCTTCTGTTTCAATTTTCTGGTTACAGTGCGGACCCACAATATAGTTCAGCGGTCATCAATACAAACGTGATCGTCAGCCACACGGGCGAGGTAGTCTGGTTAAGCCACGGTATCTTTCGCAGCAGCTGTGATATAAATGTGGAGTTTTTCCCTTTCGATGAGCAACGGTGTGCCCTCAAATGGGCCTCTTGGACATACGACGGGTACCAAGTAAGTTTTACATTCTACGTTGCATTTTATCTCGCACATCTGATCTTTATCCGCTCAAATGCAAATTATCAAATGCAAATTATCAATTTATCAAAGTTTTAAGTTTGCATAATTGAATATCTGATTTTTAAAAGAACAGATCACTGCACTGCGTATCAAATTTTTCTTTTTAGAAAGACGATTAGTTTGAAGTTTGGTCCGTTAAACAAGTTATTCAGTAATGTAAATTGTTAAAATTTGCAAAATTTGCATCGATGCAAATGCGTTTAATATCATAATTGGTGCAAATATTTGGATAACGTATCTAAGATTCACATCTTCAGTCATTAATCACATGTCAAAATGCATATCATACATGAGATATTTGGAATAAAATTTTATTTTGAGATAAGATATAATTTTATTTTGAGAGTCACATTTGAAGTAGAAGTTAATTATAAGTGTTACGTTTGAATTATAAAATAAAACTATTCATAAGTCACAGTAATATCAAAATAATTAATATCTAAAGAAATAATTATTGTTTACATATATAATAATTATAAATAATTAATTTGAAAAAGCTAAATGAAAATAACAGTATATTCACCTTATTATTGTTTTACTGTTGTTTAATGCTTCAACAATTAATTTTATTCGATTGAAAGAATAGTTTGAAAATAGAATATTATAATGTAAATTTTAAAAATTCGGAGATAATATATTTTTAGATTTTAAATCACAAATTTTTATGGACTTGTTTTATATAAGTAACCATTTTCTTCCAAAAATGTTACATATAAAATCTAAAAAAAAATCTAAGAAAAACAGATATTTTCTTAAAAATAATTAGTAAGTTACGAAAAATAAAGTTTAATTTGTGTCTCAAGATAATTTTATCCAAAATTTCTGTACTGAATCGCAATATTAAATTGATATAATATATCAAATTGATATTTAAAATTTAATCGTATCATGATTCTAAAATTAATTTTAATTAATTTAAAATTAATTTTAATTATGAACCAAAGAGAGAACAAGATATTAATATATTTTAAATAACTACATATTATATTTAATCTGATATTTGTTATAATCTCAGAAATATGTTCCATTGAGTCGTTTTTTTATTAGTTCTCGTAAAATTTTAGACTCATTTAAAAATGCGACATAAATTTCTTCGAGGATTATTATTAGCCAACGTACGGCTGTTAATCTTACAGATTTCTTTTTAAATCGAATTAATTTTTTGCATTCAGCCATTCGTAATTTTTCTCGTGGTATTATATTCATCTTTATTTAAAACCACGGAATATTTTATGGTTTCGATGAAATCATTTAGCGGAAAGGCCGTATTGATTATCCGGGAACTGAGATATCTGTGTATATTGTATAGTTCACACGAAATATGAAACTAAATTAATTAGAACGATAAAGATAAAGACGCGAATAGATAAAATTTTATATTTAGATAACTCTAAAATTATGTTGAAATGGCTCCTAGGCGATCAATATCATTGCAATATTTGATAATATTTGATAATAATATACAAGATCATTGATCTGGAGCTATATTGCAGATTTGTACAATACATTATATCAATCAAAAATTCTCATCGCGATTAATATTTGTGAAATATTGATCTATTTGTAGGTATTATCGTTTAAATTAACAAGATTCGATTTAACAAGAATCGAATGCAGAAGTACATTATGAATCAAAAAGATGTTAAAAGGTTATTCTGATAATATTATTTTATTAATCTTCTGATCTTTTGACTTAATAATTCTTAATTTGTTAATAAACTTTCAGAAATGTATTTTTCGTTTTCTATATATTACTTTTGCATCTACTTTCTTCTCTCTTTTTTTTTTTTTTTTATTAAAAGACTAAAGCGATATAACAAAATACATTACAAACGCATTACTCAACTATTTGGAATTAATCGAATTATTACACAATTTGCTTGAGAGTTACACTGAATTGTCTGGAGGAAACATCAATAATATTGTAGAATACAATTTTACGACATCATTGATCGTTCTAGAGGCCCGCTTCAGGATCGCGGGCATTCCTACCATTGCGTATATTTTAAAAGCTAATTTTTTTCGGTATTATATGGCAAAAAATATTTCGACGCAGGACGAATTTTGCGTGCGATAAGCGAGCGAAAGGAAAAAAAAAGAGAGAACGGTTGTTCGAAGCGAAGCCGATCGGTCTTTTGGAAGTTCGGGGAACGCTTAACATAGCTGTGGAATCGAAAACGCCTGCCTGTCAAGTCGTGAAAATGGTTCGGCCAGATCGAAGAGCTTAATCCCAGCATCGCGCGAGAAGAATTCAATACGAGAGTTCGGTTTGCCTCTGCGCAAACCGAGAGGCTCCCTGCCTATCTTTCACAGAGTTTTCCCATTTTCTATCTCTTCGCATTGAATACACTTTGCGTGCCGTCGTCGTCATCGCCGTTTCTCCTCGTCGCGCATAAAAGACGTCATCACATTAAAATACCTGTCCAAGAGAATCTTTTAAAGTTTTTCGTGCATTCATCATTCTCGTGTTTCGTGCGGCCGGATTTTCAATGTTGACAATTAATTTTCTAAGTAGAAACTTCGGCAAGAGAGTCTTTTCTCATAAAAGAATCGAACGTTTCTCGTCCTAATTGACAATTCTTTCTTTTAAACTGTGTAAATTAAGTAAACAACCAAATGACAAGGCAAATTATTTGCTGGGGAATCCATAATCCAAGAGAAGAGAAAAATTATAATAAAGAATGAAACAAAGATTATATTGAAATTCAATCAGGAGTGTCGTCCGATCCGTATAATATTCTATTCCAATTTGAAATCCTTGACTTTTATCCTTTAATTCTTTTCATCCGTACGAGCGATAATAAATGTTTCGATTATTAATAAAACACGTATCAGCTCGATAAAACGGAGTTATTACGCGATATACACATAAAACAATCTGGAATCGCGGCGAAAGACATTCGGCCTGTCAGCTGCCGGTTTAACTTTTAGTCGATAAACCGAACCGGCCCACGCTCGTTGATTTCCGTTCGTGTTTAGCGAGGACGACGGAACGTTCGATAAACTGCGCTCGGATGATCTTTTTATTGCTCGCAAATTCGCCGGCCTTTTATGGACAAAACGGCGGCGATTTGCATCGTCGGTCGTCGCGATCTCACACCGGGCGTAACTCACACCGAGGAAATTTTACGGGCATCAGCTCGAGCTGGAGCGACAGAGCGAGCAGGGGGATGTGAGCAATTATCAGGCGAATGGCGAATTCCATCTTCTGGACTTCGCCGCTCGCAAAAACGTCGAGTATTACTCCTGCTGCGAGGAACCGTATCCCGACATCACTTACGAAATTCGTCTACGACGTCGGCCGATGTTCTACGTCTTCAATCTGATCCTGCCCTGCATACTGATCAACGGCGTTGGTAAGTGGAGTACATAAATGTGTGTGTGTGTGTGTGTGTGTGTGTGTGTGTGTATACGTGACCCAAAAACGACGCGGAATGTTCTAAGTTGGGGACTTGCGATTAGACTGACGTTTCATATATCAAACAACATCAAGTGTAATATTTCAGTATTTGCACGTATTCAAAATTGCCATTACCGTACTCCCTGGAGATCCGATTTCGGAAGTTTTAATATTATAATTATTGATGACGATGTCTTGTTAAAAAAATATTTAATAAAATTAGGCCAATTAATTTTTATTAATAGCTTTTTGAAAAAAATTACGAAGAATTTATTATGAATGGTGTAACGTGTTTATGCAAATGATTTCTAGAAAATTGTATCATGATTTAACAGAGAAATAAATGAAATAATCAACATGTCATTTTTCTTGAAGAAGGCTTTCATTACAGAAAAAGTGCGCATACAAAACTTTAAAAAAAATTTTTTTTCTTTTTACTTGGATTTAATTTCGCGAGTGAACTTTCACAGATTGCGAATTAATGATATGCGGTAACGCGATGTGCAAATCTCGAGGACCTCGTTTATTAATAAAGGAAGTAATAGTTCTTACCGTTAGTTACGAAGTAAATTTCATAAATAATCCTTGAGACTGCGAAGCACAGTAGCCCGTATGAGAAGTCATATACGAGATTAGATAGGTTCTCTCTTCTGATCTTTCCGCACTATGTGCACGATCTGCTTGCATAAGAAAATTGAGATTGTCCCTACTAACATGAGATGCGGATCTAATGAATTTGCATAATAATTTTCGTAATCCCAGAGAAAAAAACGGTGTCTTTATTAATAATTGTGCAAGCAATCAAATTTAACGTGTTAAGATTTATTGTTTGAGAAGAAAAGCAAGATGCTTGATCAATGCTTTTCGCGTGCTCGAAAGATTCAGAATTTAAAAATAAAATTGTATATTTAAATAAAGACATGTCAAATAACATTTTAGAAACGAATTGCGTAATAAATTTAAGACGAATTTTTATATCTTGAGATTAAAAATTTCTTTTTTAAATTTTTAATATTGAATATCTATATAATTATTATTTAAATAATAATTAAGGTGAAGTTTTTTGTGTTTATTTTTTGATTCGGGAAAGAATTCGGGAAAGAAGTCATAATTTTTTGCTTAACCGTACCTGTTATCTAAGACATTTATCGTGGTAATTATTCTATCTGGATACCAACTCTCAGTGCCGACGCAGTTAAGGAAAAAAATATATTGCAACGACTGCGTAAGTAGCACAAAAGAAAAAAATATAATTGCTAATTAAAATGCTAAAGTACGATAATGGTTTGTACATTATTAATTCTTTGCAAAAACATAGAAAAAACAATCAATGAAAAAATTATATGTAACTCTGCGCGAGAGGTAATGAGAGTTTCGAAAAATAATATCGACCAAGAAGTTTAATTGCGTTAGGATTTGTACGGGAAGAAAACAAATTAAGTTATCGTTTTTAAGGAAACGGCATAAACCGAAGCATTTCATTACATTTCTGCTGCCGTTTATCGATAATGAAAGAAATTTGCTGACTACTTGCTGGATATCAGAGCCAATCTTGTCGAACAATAATTACCTATCGACTAAAAATTTTTTTTTTTTTTTTTTGTAAAAAGAAGAAAGAAAAGTGGAACATGTAAATGTTTTAAATACATTTTGAAAATATATAAGTAATGATTAAACCGTCTAAATATCCTAAATATATGCTGAGAAAAATAAACGATATATGTAAATGTTCTGTTACATTTTGAGAATATACGAGTAATATGTGGAAAAAAATCATGTGGATATTTTAAATACATTCTGAAAAAATATGATAGATAATATACTATATAAATATTTTGAATGCATCGTGAGACTATAATATATAGCTACAATACATAGAAAGAAGATAAATAAAAAGAATATTACAACGACAGAGAATATAAGATTGAATGGGACAATCGAGACTGTCGGATAAATGGGACAACGCAATGGCTTTCCGATGATGAAATTGATGGTTATTGTGAAACAGTAAAAAAATGGCAACTGTGAATTATATCGGAAAATTGTTGTGTGGTTTTATTTGGCTAAGGATTTACGTCAACCATTTTACACGACAATAACGCGGCAAAAATTTAAATACATTTCTATTATGTTTTTACAATAATATTTTCTTATATTTTTCACAAGTGAAACTTATTAGAGAATTACAATTATGAGAAACAGATATTCTTTAAAATATAAAATTATTGTAATGTTACAGCAATAAATCGATATAGAATGTAGATATTAACATATTAAATATATGCATGTTTTTTTGTATAAATGAAAGATAAAGAAAACTTGAGAGAATTGGAATTTATCGAAGTCTTAAGGAAAAGGTAATCCAAGACTGTTTTTATTCTTTTTTCTCGTCTTTTCCTGCCGCCTTGGTCGTTCTATTTTCGACTACTACTCTTGAGTTTGTCACGAGACTTCGAATCGAAGTCTTGTGGAATACTTCGGATTCAATACTTCGCGGTAAGAGTGAAACTTTCGCGGACGCTGTTCCTTTTGTTCCCCAGCCCTGCTGGTGTTCTACGTGCCCTCCGAGTCGGGGGAGAAAGTCACCCTTGGCATCTCGGCTCTTCTATCTATGACGGTGTTTCTGATGACCATCCGCGAAACTTTGCCGCCTACGGAAAAGACGCCGCTGATAAGTGAGTATCTTGTTAGTCGTTTGCGGATTTTTAATTAGAATTCAAGGAAAAATGTACATTTTTTTCATATTTATTTTTCACATCTATTTCACAAATATTTTCACAAATTATTACAACGCACTAGCCTCTTTTGTACTATATTTGGTTAAATTATCGCGAATACCTCTGTATAAATATATCTTTGCATTTCAAAGTATAAAAGCCGCAACGCAGAACGTTATCGCAATTTCCGTTCGAGTACTTGCTCGTTACTCATTAAAAAACCGCGGGAAAATGCATCTGGGATTTTCTTGAGACGCGATTAGCCGTGCAAGACTGAACACCGTCTCATTTTTGCTAATGTAGTCTTCAAAGGGGGATTCCGAAGGAGTGTGTTCAAAGAATAGCGAGAAAACCGGATAAAAGTAGTTCTGAATTGTTATCCAAATGGAGAAAGAATTTTGTCTAATGAACACAATTGAACACAATTTCTGCAAGAAAATGTATCAGGTTATTTCTCTGGCGATTTACAGAGGTAATATTTTTATCAAACTTAATAAATTTCTTTAAATAAAAGACAAATAATAAAAACAGTATTTACTATTTAAATAACAAATTGTATTATTTTTCTTCATATTTTTATTTGATTTTTTTAAATCCTGTTCAACGTGTTTTTTTGCAAGAGAGTTAAATATTTTACACTTATAAACTCTTACTTAAATTACTTTATGTGATTTTCATAAGAACGTCTCTTACTCAAGAGGCATAAATTCAATTATCCATTCTAGCTATCTGTGCTGTTCCCCTCGGTGCTTTCAGGTCTTTATTATGGCGTCAGCATTTGCTTGGTGTCGTTCGCATCCGGCCTGGCGGTCGTGACATTGAATTTGCATCATCGTGGCGTGCGGGGCATACGCGTACCGAGTATCGTGAGATCGCTGGTCTTAGACAAATTAGCCAGGATAGTATTTCTCAATTTCCAAGAGGAGAATAGATCGGTAAAACGGATGCACGTAATGTACATGCAAATTTTCCTTTGTAATACGCAAGGCATTTTGTAAATCGCCATCCGGTCTCCAAAGTATTCGAATATAATAAAATTGAGCCAATATTCCGTGCACGCGTTTCTCAGAATGATCGATGATCGGATAATAATCTTGAGATTCGTGCAGTTTCCGGCAAATAATAGCGGAAACAGGATCGGCCTCAGGCATTTGTTTCAGCATATACGAGTCTAAAGGATGTAATATATATCTTCGACTTCTTTGTATCAGAGAAATACGATAAATTTAATATAAAAGATGTATGATTGATTTAGACAAATATAAGAATCTTATAAAAGAAAAAGAATAATGTAAAAAGAAAAATATGAATTATATGGGAAAAATATATATATATTGATATTAATAAATAGATTAATAGAATTAATAAGAAATAAATATTAATTATTAACGGAACAATTATGAAAAATAAATTGGCACGAGAGAAAAATAAACAAACTTTACTTATGTTTACTTATGTTTACGGATGTCTGTGGCCGATTTCAAGCGCAAACGAAAAATATGTTACATTTCACCAAGAGAAAATTTCGCGGTAAGACAGTTTCTATGCGCGCCCGCTATCACTTCGTTTTCTATAGAAAAGTTACGGCACGATCATCAATACGGGATCACAGTGATTTGTTATATCAGCAGGAGTCGGCGGAACAATTTTCGAGAAGAAAGAACAATTGTCCGCTGCACTGTAAACCCGAGCTGCCGGAGCAGCACGTTTCCCCCAAATATGTTTCGACGAGGGACGATAGTAACAGTTCTAGTCCCAGCTTAGGTAAATCCATTGTATAGATAATTAATTTATTAAAAAACAGTGTCTTCATTCTTTCGTTAAATACAAACGTGTAACATGTTTTATTAGATAGATGTTTTTATTTTTTTATTTATACTTATATATAATATAGATAATAATATAATAATCCATATAATATATGTTTATTGTATTTCTTATTTCGAATATATTTCTACATGATCGTTCAGCGGAGTCTTTCTAATTTGATCTGGTTTCTTTATCCGATTTGTATTGCGCGTGCAATGCATTATGAATCGTGTTAAATGATCGCACAGATCTCGGGAAAGAAGGTGGCCTCGAGGCGCATTGGTCCCGAGTCTTGGGAAGAGTGCACGCGACCATCGAGAGGAATGAACGACGTCTGGTCGAGCAGGATCGTCGAGAAAGGACAGAGTTAGATTGGAAACAGGTCGCTCTAGTCAGTGATCGTGCCCTGTTGTGCATTTTCTTCCTCACAACGATCGTCAGTACAGCAGTGATTTTATGCGGCTCGCCTCCGACTCCGGATGCGTCTAAGGATGGGTAATCCTTGGATTATTGATTCGATTAATGTTCGATGATTAATGAACAATGTTTTTCGAGGATCATCGATGATTTTTAATTCAGATAATTTCGTTCTACGTATTAGAAAAAAAATTAAATAATTTAGCAAGTCAGAAGAACAAACGAATATTTTTCCCGTTACCTGTTTTATAACAAATATGTTAATTCGTACAAGAAATAAGTGAATTTTGAGAAACTGATGAGAATGTCTATTTTTATTTGTATCGTTGAAAAAATAGGAATATCATTTTGAAAAATTCATTTTGAAACAAATCCAGTTTCTTTCTATTCGTATATTTCTTGGACGGAATAAATGTAAAGATATTTCATGTAATTTTAGATGTTATACTTAGAAAACGAAATATCTAACTTTTACTCAGAGATGAATTTAGGAAATAAAAATAGTTTTATTAGCACGAAAAAAATTAATAAATAAAAAATTCATTTTTTTCTTCCTAAATGAATATTCGAGAGTCTTTTGAAAATTTATGCGCAAATCTTGAAATTAACTTAAATTCACCTCTACTCTGTTGACGTTTTCTTTTTGATGTCGAATGGATAAACTAATAATTCGATGTACTTGACTTGCATATGTGTATGTATATGTATGTATATATATATATATGCGCATCGAATTTGTCATAGAATTCATAAATTTAGTGTAGTAAATGTGTAAAAGCTCGCTAGTGAGCTAAAAATGTTTGTCGGCATAAAATATTAATATAAATGTAGAAATAAACATTCATTAATGAGAGATTTGTTTAAATCCGCATTAAAATAATATAATGTCAATATTGAGATGTATTTAAACAGGGTCAAACGTATAATTAAGGCATAAAAGTGAATAAATAATGGAATAAATTTTATATTTATCCAATGACCATAGAAATCCCTTAACCACAGTTACAATGCTTTTAACAAGATGAATTTTTCATATTTATATAATAATATTTTTCTCTTTAATACATTTTCATCCATATAGAAGTATATAAAAATATAAAATATATTACAAAATATATATAATTGATAAAATCTGAAGATTTTTAATAATAATCAGGTACAGGTGCACAAGCTATTTTCACAAAATCTTCATATTTCACATGTCCATTTAGAGATACATTGGCCTCGCGGAAAATTTGCTCCACTGTAACAAAAAGCAATATGTCAAACGCAAAACTGCGATTAATTATTTATTTACTCTACCTTCTTTGCTGCTCAGTTGTTCTCCCCAATGAAGCAACATGTGGGCCAACTGCCGTGCTGGAACAGTGCCGCTATGAGACGTATCGGCAGCTTGAAAAGCTTTGATCACTTCTTTCGGCAGATCCTCTGCACGAGTCTGAAGATGCATGACTTCTAGAAAGTCAGCAAAAGACATTTTTCCACCTAGAATTAACGCAAGTACTATTTATGAAAAGTTTCTTCAGTGCAAGTCAGTACGGATGTTGTGTATGATATTCAATTACCTTTATCCTTCATATATTTGTTTAATTCTGCAATAGTCGGACTTAGTCCCAAAGATCTCATAATTATAGTAAGTTCGTCGAGTGTGCGAATCTGACCGCTTCGAGCAAAGAGATAGAAACATTCTCGGAATTCTGTAAAAATAACGAATTACTTGTATCCATTTCTAGCAATATAGATTAACTCCAATCTCGGTTTGTTCTTCATCTTTCATCTTTTTTTTAGAATTAAAAATTTTTAGAATCAGAAAAGAATAAAAATAAGTTGAACCGAGTTTAAAGTTAATTTCCGTTGATAGAAATAAATATTGTTCCATCTATTTCAGTACAATATGCAGTAATAATTCAACGATATTTTCGACATACCATCTATATCCTTTTCTCTGAAGTAACGCGCCTGCAAACATTACATATCACATGAAAATATAAAGGACAAAATATAAATTTTAAATAAATTACGCAAAAAAAAGAAACAAAGAAAACGAACGAACAAAATCGCATATAAAATTCGGAGAAAGTAGACCGAGTCTCAGAATTGAAATTCTAAATGGAATTGTTGATGTAATTACAAAATGCGTATTGAAATTACCATGATCGCTCAAATTTGCGAAGATCACGTTCCGTCCTCAAATTTCGGTTTTGTCACAATTTTGACACAACAGGTGTTTGACGCTAACGTCAACTTGACATAACCTCACCTGAGTCTCTCCGTTGCTTGTAAAAGAGCGACATCGTCCGTTGCGAGTGTTTACTAGAGGTTTCACTTGGTCGTACAACCTGTGCAAGGCAAAGTTGATCGGTCAATGTTCCTGTCGTCGAAATTAATTTTAGAACTTGTAATTTTTTAACGAGAGTTTGGAAAGGATAAATGCGGGAGAAATAATTCCGATAAATTCAAATTGGATGTGTCTAGAAGAATACTTAGAGGTTTTTCTTATTTATCTGAAAATTGTTTAAAAAGTTTGCTTTAATAAATTAATATTGACTGAAGTATATCTGATGTAAAATAGATAAATTGATATTGACAATATAAAATCTTACTTTTATAGACTTTTTTCTTGCATATTATGGAATTAATATTGCACGATCTTATCTTTCTCGCGATTATTTAGCTTTTGTCTACATTGCATTCTCGATTGCTTTTGACTTTTGAGAAAATTTTGATATAATTCAATTTTTATTAATTATATTTACGTGAAATATTTTATTCTAGGAATGATTTTGGATGTAGATTTTAAGAACTTATTGATCCAAGTTTTTGCAGTGGATTTGTGAAATAGATAAAACTGTTTTTTTTTTAAGTCTTTAAGAAATTAAGCTTTGAATGATAGACAGTTTCTATCAGATTTCTGAACGGAATATTTTTAATTTTACATGCCACACTTTGATATGTACGTGTATTTTAATATATATATATATATAT